CTGTTCTACGTGACTCAGACCGCTTACAATGCAGGACAGGCTCTCCAGGACGCCCGGCTGGACGGGCACGACGCAGACATTTTAGCTCTGCAGGGCGCTGGGCCCTACGCCACGGGGGCGGAGCTGACGGCGTTGCAGCTGACTCTGCAGCTACTTCGACGCTATGAGTTCAGCAGAGCCCAGGCGGACCGCAGAGTTGCGGACTTCAGCGTGGAGATCATGGAGCGCGGCATCTTCATGGGCTCGGTCAGTCGAGTGAGGAAGTCCCCCAAAAACTTCAATCGCAGTCCGCTTCAAGTGGGCTGGGCCGTCCTGGAGCTGTCCAAGCTGAAGATCGCGTGCAGTACTGGCTGGGGGTGAAAGCTGCGCTGCCGAGAGTCGTCCCTATCCTGACGGACACCGACTCCATGCTGCTGGAGATCATCGGCGAGTGCAACCCCAAGCAGCTGCTCGCAGAACCTCACGCTCCCCGTGGAGTTCGACCTGCTCGGTGACCTGGACGCTAAGGACTTCGAGGTTGAGGTCTCGCCCGAGGCTTTGGAAAAACTCAAGGAGCTGCAGGGACGAATGGGGGCTCTGTCGGACGAGTGCGCCAATTGGGTCTTGCTCTCCGTGGTTTGCTTGGCGGTGAAGAAGCACAGCATCCTCCTCTCCGACGGCAAGCAGATCCAAAAAGCGAAGGGCGTACCGAGGAGTGTTCGAAGCGCCACCCGGCACCAGGACTACTTGAAGATCCACGAAGAGAACTCCACGAGGCACGACTCCTTCACGCAGCTGCGCTCATACCAGCACCAGATCTTCATCGTGGAGCAGCAGAAGAAGACCTTCTCCGTCATGAATGACAAGGCTTTCCAGCTCACGAAGGAGAACTGCAGGCAGCTGGGCCACTGGCGCAACGCTTACCTCGGAGTCTGGATGCGCTTAAAAGGCGCGGACGCGCTTTTGGAGAAGATCTTGGAGTTCGTCCGTGGCCCCGCGCCGATGAGGAATCCGAAGTGGGGCGAGCTGGCGAAGTCACTTTCGCGCTGATGCAAGGACGGTTTTGATGTGTGATCGCAACGTGATCGCATTCCTGCACAGAGTCTGCCTTCGCTGCAGACCGTTTAGTAACCAGTAGTAGCCTCTTTGCGCACAGTTTACCGTGGTAGGGAGAGGTGGCTTGGAGCCTGCTCAGATCGGGCTTCGTGGCTTCTTGCTCAGTTCCCAGAGGGTGCGGTAGCAGCTGCCATCTCTCTCTCTTATATCCATGTTTCA